AGGTATCTCAAAGGGACTATGCAGCTTGGATTGTGTTTTAAACCTGGAAATTTGGATATTAGAGCTTACACCGATGCTGATTGGGCTGGGGATCCCAATGACAGAAGGTCAACAACTGGTTTCGTTGTGTTTTTAGGTCCCAATCCTATTTCTTGGAGTTCAAAGAAACAACATACTGTTAGTCGGTCTTCTACTGAGGCCGAGTATCGAGCAATGGCAACTACAACTGTTAAGGTGGTATGGCTTCAACAATTACTCAAGGATCTGTCTCTTTCATCTTCAGTTACACCATTGCTGCATTGCGACAACATATCTGCCATGGCTCTAGCAACTAATCCCGTCTTGGATTCTAAAGCTAAACACATCGAAATAGACTGCCATTTTGCGTGAAAAGGTTCAGCAAGGCACAATTTTGTTACAGTTTGTGGCATCATCGGAGCAGTTTGTGGCATCATCGAAGCAGTTTGCTGATATACTTACCAAGGGTTTGTGTTTTCCATTGTTTAGTTCTCATTGTTCCAATCTTATGCTTGGGAATGCCTAGCATAAGATTGAGGGGGAATGTTAGATTACATGATGTATTGTTAGTTGATAGAGTTGTTAGGCACTGCCATGTGTCTCTATTGTATTGGTTAATCTAGAAGTTAGTTGTATATGGTTGTATTTATAAATAGGACAAAGGATGTAATAGTGAATGTAATGAAAAGTATCAGTTTCTCTCACTACTCTCTCTCTTCGAATTCTCTGTTGCTTTCTCTGCATTCCTCCATAGCTAAATCTCAGAGTTATCACAAACCTGGTCAGCGTTTAAGTTTTTGTCAAGGACTTTGCGTGATGAAATTCGAAGGTTAAAGTAAAGTTCGTCAGGTAAAGTAAGTTTTTCAGGAATGTGTATTGTATTGTGTCACCCTTTGCCCGACGAAAAACCAGTTCATCAGCTTTTGGAATGTTGCCCGATGAAAGATTTTGTTGGGTAAAGTGTTATATGTGTCGGCAAAGTTCCATGATGACCTATCAAAAAATCCACCGACACTTTTTTGCTTGACATCGTTGTTATTCGTCAAGCAAAACCCAATTCATTAAAACAGGCCATGCAGCCTTCTTTTTCTCTTTCTCCTTTCTTTCTTCTTCCCCCCTGCGCGCTACTCTTCATGCTCTGCAAGTCTGCTCTCTCTCTTTCACACATCTTACACCCTTCTCATACCAACCTCATCACCCATCTCTCACTCTCCCTCTCCCAATTAATTTAAGGTTTTTTTTATTTATTAAATACTTTTTGTGTAATTGTGTAATTAATTATGTTTGGTTTTTGTAGGTTTGTGATTGAATTGGAAGAAAATTAAAGGAAAGGTATGTATTTGTCTCTCAATTTAATTTTATAGGAAATTTTAATTTGTCTAATTGGGTTATATATATATATATGTGTGTGTGTGTGTGTGTGTGTTGAAATTGTGGGTTATGTGAAATTTTGGATTTGTGTGTTATTGAAACATATGTACTTAGGTGAACTTAATTTGTGTACCATTAGCCTAGGAATCGCAGTGTAAAATTTGTTGAAATTCATAATGGTTTATACGAAGTTTTGGACATGTGGTGAATGATGCTCGCTATTTTATGCATACAATTCCCTAAACAAAGCTCGTCTACACCTGATGGAGGCAAACAAGGTTGCTCATAGACTGGCACGATTGGGTCTAACTTTAGATCAACGATTTGGTTTGAGGAACCTCCTGATGTAATCACATACCTTATTTTGGAAGATGGTACAACTCTGTCATTTGTTGCGGGATGCTCATTTTCCTTCGATTGAGTTGAAATCTCAGGAAAGGTTTTTATCGAGACCCACATAAATGCACCCTATCCTCCAACATATATGTATTCTTTTCGTCATATCAATGAATATCCTACTTCATCTAAACAAAACAGGAATTTGAATATAATGTTTTTTTTAATAGTGGTATCAATCTTTTAAAACATTTCAGATAATGAATCTATATCTTTGATAATGAACATCCGTTAGACCATCTCCAAACCTGTGCTAAAAGCCAAATTACCTCCCAAATTACCCCCCCAAACACTCTCCAACCCATGTTAAAATTTTAGGCTAAATGCCAAATGTTATTTCTGGGCCAAATACCCCCCCCAGCTTTCCCCCTGGGCTAAATGCCAAATGTTTATCGGAATTTAATTTTTTTTAGATTAAAATGTTCATAAAATTAATTTACAATAATCTACATTTAAAAAAAAAATTGATTTAAGAAAAAAATTAGCCTAAGTTCATTCTTTAATAATTCCGGACTAAAATTTTAGGGTAGAAGGGTTGGAGCAGAAAAGATGTTTTTGGGCTAAAAGCCAAATTTTCCGGGCTAAAAAATTTGGCTTTTAGCCCAAGGGTTGGAGATGGTCTTAGGGGGGGGACAAATATTGAAGTTAATTTTCATTGATAGTCATCTTTCAAGCTCTAAATCTTTAAACCAACATTCAAACTGTTAAACTCGATAACCGTGGATAACCGTCCGAATGAAACAGATTTGGGGATGAAAATTCGGTTATATTTCGGATATGGGGAAAACCGAAAATATTATTTGGTTATGTTTATAGGGGTCCCTGATCCCTATATGTCCCCGAAACCGACCCAAATAATACATTTTATATATAATATAAATTATATTAATAAATATAGTATTGTATAATATAAATATGGGATAGGATCAAGGAACAAATATTTTTACAAATACTTTTAGACTCTTTTTAAGCCTTTTGATTACATGACATCCAAGGGTTCTTATTTATTCATTAAATTACATGGATGCTTATGTGGATTTTAACTAATATTAAAGATTAAAAAAAACATAAAATCTGGAAAATTAAAAATATAATTAAAAAAAGAAGATAATTTAACTAAAATTGGTTCTCCCATTCCCATTTCGATCAAGACTTGGATTCAGACTTTGAACCCTAATAAAAAAATCATGAAACTATTGTAACCGTGCAAAAGAAACCCTAAATAGACTTTTAACTAATATTAGTCGTGCAAAAGAAATCCCCCTCAAAAACCTAGGTGTTGTCGAAGGCCTGCAGCCCACGTTTCAAGTGGCTCACCATTATCGTCTTGGAACTGTCGCTCTTTGGTATGTTCTCAATTATGTTCAATTCATATCTTCCAAATCGTCTTCTTGAATTTTGTTGTAATAGTCGTCTTATTTGAATTTTGTCATCTGAATTGTGCTCTTGAATTTTGTTATATAACTTATGTTCTTTGAATTTTGTTATCTGAACTATGTAATCTCGTTATTAAAGAGAATAACACGGACACAAATCTGCAATTCCGACGTAATTTACTCATTGCCCAAAATTCTATACTTTCCTGCATTCTAAAATATTTGTTGTATCATTCTCTTTTATTACTTGTCATCTTTGACTACACCAGTCAACTCTGTTATTTGAATTGTTCCCTAATTGAATTTTATGATAATTTACAGTGAAATTCGAAAATACTAGAAGAGCACTGAACTTTTTACGTTCAAAATAATCTCACATCAGATATTGGAGCGGCACAGTGCCACCAGTCCTGTAGTAAATGTCAGGTTCATGCTGTTTTTGCACCCTGAGAATTATTCGAACTTCACCTTCCATAAGAGAAAGCCTGATGAGAGATTCCTGGATGGCTGTCGGTCTTCTATCCATTCCCACAACTAGTACTGCTCGAAAATTATCTGCTTGGAAAACGTTGCAATCCCTCAACATTGTATACGCACACACACAGATATACATTTTATGTTCATTTTCAGTTTTATTTTACTTTTATTATTAGTTAAAATCCACATAAGCATCCATGCCATTTAATGAATAAATAAGAACCATTGGATGTCATATAATCAAAAGGCTTAAAAAGAGTGTGAAAATATTTGTCCCTTGATCCTATACCTATAAATATATATTTATATATATTCACCACATCCATTAATAAATAAATATAGTATTGTATATAATATATATATATATATATATATATATTCACCGCATCCATTAACTTGAGAATTACAAAAGTTGCGTTTGGTGAGAAAGTTCAAAAGTTTTTGGTATCTACTAAATAATAATGCCTCAATTAAACAAATATATTTTTGGTATTGACGAAGATGAATATAACCGTTAACCGATGTGAAATCTGTTACCTGGTGGGTATGGTTATGAATTTTCGATGGTCAATTTGCAGTTATGGATATGGTTAATTTTCATGATTATAGGAATGGATATAACATTTCCGTCCCAAACCGAACCGTTGTCATCCATATGTGCAAGTGGATACATAGTATATATATTTTAATGTGCTCTGATATAGAAAATTGAGCTCTCAGCGCATTTGTGTTTTAGTCACCCACCAGAATTTCTTATTTTTATTTTTTTTACATTATTTCAAGGGAACTTTAACGAAAAATTCCCGGTACTGTTCACTTTAACGAAAAATCACATTTTTACACTAAAAAGTCAATCCTGGTACTATTCACTTTACCATTTATTTTGTCCTTATCATTAAAACTCAAAGTTTTCAAGCCCTTTTCATTAGTTTTCCTTTATTTGAATTTATATATAATCATAAAAATTAAAATGTAAAAGAAAATATAGCAACCAAAATGTTAGACCTTAGAAGAGCTTTTTTTTGGGTATTTAAAAGCAAGAAGGTTGGAACTCAAAACCATAAAGAATGCAAATAGGTGGTTTATCTCAATTTATACATAATCATAAAAATTAAAATGTAAAAGAAAACATAGCAACCAAAATGTTAGACCTTAGAAGGGCTTTTATTTTGGTATTTAAAAGTAAGAAGGTTTGAACCCAAAAACATAAAGAATGCAAATAGAAGCCACCACACTAAGATATATATATATATATATATATATTCATTATCTCTGTTTATACATAATCATACAAATAAATTTGTGTAAAAAAAAAACATAGCAACCAAAATGTTAGACCTTAAGGAATTTCGAACCAAAAAACATAAAAGATGCAAATAGATATCTAGCCACCACATCAAGAATTTTTTTTTTCTTTCTTCACATTATTCAAGTTATACACAATTATAAAAAATAAAATGTAAAAGAAAATATATCAACCAAAATTTTAGAAGAGCCTTTGTTGGAGTCTCACACAGGACCCCCAAATTCTTAGGACCGACCCTGTTTTTTAGCCAACTTGCACCTTAAATCTGCTTCACTAAAAAGAATCGATTTAGATATTCAAAACTCCATAAATAACGTGAGAGCTAATACCTACTTTAATATTTGCGGATGCCCTAATAAATGTCTAATCTTCAAAAATGTTTAGTTAGGTAGAACGTTTTTATAATTGTCTAATAATCGTTAAAATATTGTTGAATAAACAGTAACTTCTATTGCCTTTAGATAGATACTAGAAAGTTTTGCCCATGCATTGGTGCGGGATTAAAAATTGCGTAAAAAATTATGTTAAAAAAGTATAAGGGGTTTGTGTGACAGAAGATTAATGCTATTTGTGTTCACAATGTTAAGCAAATTTTCACATATGAAATATTTTAATGATACAATTTAATCAGAAATTGTTTGCAGCCTTCTTCTTTGCATCAGTGGTTTTGCTAACCTTTCAAAATTTTAAAAATAACAAAAACCAACCATTACTATTATGCTTCTTACTGTAATCAAGTTTCATGATTCTAAATAAAACCAGAGGAACATATAAACACAAAAAGAATAGAGTAAAAATATATCGTTTAAGAGTTTACTTCATCTTTGAATACTGAAAGTAAGAATATAGAGAGGAATTTCAGTATAGAAAATTTAAAATATACCTGCTAAGTAAAGCTACAATCCTAAGATGCATTCAGAATAAATTTGATGTTTTTACATTGTATATCAACGTTTAAAAGCTGTGCAACAAAAAGCAAAACAAAATTTCACAAATTATTGAAATAAAATTCAGCAACCAATTCCCTAAAAGCCGAAAAAGGTGAGAATAGTGTACAGGTCGATGTCCAAGTCGTTATCGAGAGCTTTGGTCACTGATTCTGGCTACTTGGGTAAAAGATCTTCAAGAGAAAAGTAGGCATTTTCACAACTAACCTGAGAAGTGAATTTGACATCCAAAATTGGAATTTCAAAACCCACCATAGAAGCAACATATGAAAACAACAAAGAAGAAATCTAGCGAAAGTTATTTTCTGATAAGTATTCTAACAACCAAAGCAATTTCCAACTTCAACATTGAAAACGAAAGCCTACAGAGCTTATCAATCACTCATAGTGATGCTTAGACCCAACAGTTTCTGACGCGACACGGTGACACGACACGAAAACGACACGAAAATAACGATTTTCGGGTCAACACGATAACTTATCGGGTCATTATTGGGTGGTCCGTTAAGAACCCGTTAATAATGGGTTCTTAACAGGTATACACGCAGGTAACACGTGGGTAATCCGTTTCAACCCACAACAACAACAACAACAACAAAGCCTTTTCCCACTAAGTGGGGTCGGCTATATGAATCCTAGAACGCCATTGCGCTCGGTTTTGTGTCATGTCCTCCGTTAGATCCAAGTACTCTAAGTCTTTTCTTAGAGTCTCTTCCAAAGTTTTCCTAGGTCTTCCTCTACCCCTTCGGCCCTGAACCTCTGTCCCGTAGTCACATCTTCGAACCGGAGCGTCAGTCGGCCTTCTTTGCACATGTCCAAATCACCGGAGCCGATTTTCTCTCATCTTTCCTACAATTTCGGCTACTCCTACTTTACCTCGGATATCTTCATTCCTCAATCTTATCCTTTCTCGTGTGCCCACACATCCCACAAAGCATCCTCATCTCCGCTACACCCATTTTGTGTACGTGTTGATGCTTCACCGCCCAACATTCTGTGCCATACAACATCGCTGGCCTTATTGCCGTCCTATAAAATTTTCCCTTGAGCTTCAGCGGTCACGGTCACACAACATGCCGGATGCACTCTTACACTTCATCCATCCAGCTCGTATTCTATGGTTGAGATCTTCATCTCAATTCTCCGTTCTCTTGCAAGATAGATCCTAGGTAGCGAAAACGGTCGCTTTTTGTGATCTTCGCTAGAATTGCTCCGGTCATTAGTGTGGATAAGTATATAAATGGATAGAGATAGGAAAGCAAACACAAGATGTACGTGGTTCACCCAGATTGGCTACGTCCACGGAATAGAAGAGTTCTCATTAATTGTGAAGGGTTTACACAAGTACATAGGTTCAAGCTCTCCTTTAGTGAGTACAAGTGAATGATTTAGTACAAATGACATTAGGAAATATTGTGGGCGAATGATCTCGTAATCACACGAAACTTCTAAGTATCGGAGTGTGGTATCATCTTGACTTGCCTTATCTGTCTCATAGGTAGATGTGGCATCTTCTCTGGAAGTACTCTTCCTCCATCCAGGGGTGATATCTTTAACTGGTGGAGATGCACAAGGTAATGTATCAATTTCACTTGAAGCTTACTTGTAGTTTCAGGCTTGGTCAAGCGCGATACAAACCATGTAGTAGGAGTCCCCCAAGTCGCCGAAGCTAGGGGGTCTTGCTGAAAGAGGTGACAGACAAGGTAAGCAATCAGAGCTCCGACCGATTGTTCACCTTCTCCCCATCTTGCAGCAGCATGAAGATAAAGAGAAGAAAAATGAGAAGAGATGATATGAGGATACTTTTGCTTTTGAAGAAGTAACTTTCCACAGGCTTATTCTTGAACTGAGCTGGAGGGTTTTCTGGTTTCCTCCAGAGTATAAGGCCGACTGAAGAATTTGAGGGTCAAAACAAGTCCATCAAATCTAGAGTACGTTTCGACCCTGCTGATATGGGATACTTTTGCTTTTGACAGAGTAATGGATGTATCGGCATGTGTGCTGTTACGCTTGTCTCCACATGCTTCCTTGTATCCTTCGCACTTGCCCTATCTGTTCCTCAAGCAGATGCGGAATCTTCCCTGGAAACATAAGATGTTGAAGATGAGTACTCGAGAGCAATGCCAGGTAAGTAATCAGGTAAGGGGTTCCAGGCAGTCAGTTCCTGGCTGGAAGCTTGATTTCCAAGTGCTGACTGATTGCTCTCTTTCTCCTTGTCTTGCAGGTAAAAACAAGGCCAAAGGAAAAGACAGGGAAAAAGCATGATATGGGATACTCTTGCTTTTAACCTTGATGATATGAGATATTCTTGCTCTAGTATAGCTTGTTTGCAGAGGTATTATCGGGGGGAAAGAAAGCTGAATATTTCGAAAGGCTTCGTTGGGAGTGCCCTCTCAGATATGATGAAGGGTTGAGCATTTTTGCAGGTCTGCCTGTCCGTTGGGGATGGAGGTCGACATATATAGGAGTCTCCCTAACAACAAGTAGTAATGCTATTCATTTACCCTGCTTGGTCATAGCACGGTAGTGGGAGCTGCCAGTTTCACATGTTTTAACTCTGTCAGAGCACTTTGAAAAAGTGGTCTGTGGTATCTGGCTCTCGAGATTCGGAGAGCGATGCCTTCTTCGATTTTTGAGAAAGCAATCATGATGGGGGTCTGGCTCTCGAGATTCGGAGAGCAGTGTCTCTTCGATTTTTGAGGAAGTAATCATGTTGGGAGTCTGGCTCTCGAGATTCGGAGGGCGGTGCCTCTTCGATTTTGGAGCAAGCAATCCTGTTGGGAGTGTTGTCTCGAATGTGAGTAAAGGTTGGGCATGTTTGCTAGTCTACCTTGCCCCGAAGCACAAAGGTTGACACACAGGAACTTTGCAATTATCTAGCAATGGTACTGTTCCTTTACCCTCTCTTCGCTTTTGAGAAAGTAGTCATGTTGGGAGTCTGGCTCTCAAGATTCGGAGGACGGTGCCTCTTCGATTTTGGAGCAAGCAATTTTGTTGGGAGTGTTTTCTCGAATGTGAGTAAAGGTTGGGCATGTTTGCTAGTCTACCTTGCCACGAAGCACAGAGGTTGACACACAGGAACTTTCCAATTATCCAGCAATGGTACTGTTCCTTTACCCTTGTGGGTAATAATATGGTAGCTAGACCTTCAAAATTTATGTGTCTAAACTTTGTTAGTGCTGTTTCTTTGCTATTCTTTTACCTTTCTTGGTCAGAGCGATATAGTGGGAGCTGCAAGCTTCACGTGCTCAACTTTGGCAGAGAACTTTGACAAAGTTATCTGTGGTACCCATGAGCTATTGTTGCGTGTGGGAAGTGGGTGATTGAACAGTAAGATTCATGTGCTTTCTACTTCACCAGAAGTCTTCGACAGAATGCCCATAATTTCTGCAAAGCTGAGTGTGCGTGTGACAGGTGCTGACAAGGCTAGAATAGTAGGTGCCTCTTCGATTTCTGAGATTGGCCCTCGTGGTCTCTGAGCAGCCCAGCTTTTGAGAAAGCGAGCGCCTCTTCGATTGATTTGGAGAACGATGCCTCTATCGATTTTTGAGAAAGCAATCATGCTGGGGCTCTGGCTCTTGAAGATTCGGGGAGCAGTGTCTCTTCGATTTTTGAGAAAGTAATCATGTTGGGAGTCTGGCTCTCGAGATTCGGAGGGCGGTGCCTCTTCGATTTTGGAGCAAGCAATCTTGTTGGGAGTGTTTTCTCGAATGTGAGTAAAGGTTGGGCATGTTTGCTAGTCTACCTTGCCACGAAGCACAGAGGTTGACACACAGGGACTTTCCAATTATCCAGCAATGATACTGTTCCTTTACCCTCTCTTCGATTTTTAAGAAAGTAGTCATGTTGGGAGTCTGGCTCTCGAGATTCGGAGGACGGTGCCTCTTCGATTTTGGAGCAAGCAATCTTATTGGGAGTGTTTTTCTCGAATGTGAGTAAAGGTTGGGCATGTTTGCTAGTCTACCTTGCCACGAAGGCACAGAGGTTGACACACAGGGACTTTCCAATTATCCAGCAGTGGTACTGTTCCTTTACCCTTGTGGGTAATAATATGGTAGCTAGACCTTCAAAATTTATGGGTCTAAACTTTGTTAGTGCTGTTTCTTTGCTATTCTTTTACCCTTCTTGGTCAGAGCGATGTAGTGGGAGCTGCAAGCTTCACGTGCTCAACTTTGGCAGAGAACTTTGGCAAAGTTATCTGTGGTACCCATGAGCTATTGTTGCGTGTGGGAAGAGGGTGATTGAACAGTAAGATTCATGTGAGTTTTCTACTTCCCCAGAAGTCTTCGACAGAATGCCCCATAATTTCCGCAAAGCTGAGTGTGCGTGTGACAGGTACTGACAAGGCTGGAAAAGTAGGTGCCTCTTCGATTTCTGAGATCGGCCCTCGTGGTCTCTGGGGAGCCCAGCTTTTGAGAAAGCGAGCGCCTCTTCGAGATCGACCTTCGTGGTCTTAGAGCAGCCCAACTTTTGAGAAAGCAAACGCCTCTTCGATTTCTGAGCAGGCGCCTCTTCGATTTCTGAAGCTCCGTCGAGTGCAGATTTTTATAGGGGCTGGCATTAAGTTCCAAAGCACACTTGAATCTCCACCAGTAGAAGCTTCATTCTTGCACTTCTAAGATCTTGATTTGTCCGACCTCTTCTCTCTTCAACACCTTTGAAAATGTCTGGCCCCTCCGACCGTCGTTTTGACTTGAACCTTGTTGAAGAGGCAGCCCCGCCTTCTCCAGACAACATATGGCGCCCATCCTTCGTCTCCCCTACTGGTCCTCTTACCGTTGGGGATTCCGTGATGAAGAATGATATGACCGCTGCGGTGGTGGCCAGGAACCTTCTCACCCCAAAAGATAACAGACTACTTTCCAAACGGTCTGATGAGTTAGCTGTTAAGGATTCGCTGGCTCTCAGTGTTCAGTGTGCAGGTTCTGTGTCTAATATGGCCCAACGCCTATTTGCTCGAACCCGCCAAGTTGAATCATTGGCGGCTGAAGTGATGAGTCTCAAACAGGAGATTAGAGGGCTCAAGCATGAGAATAAACAGTTGCACCGGCTCGCACATGACTATGCTACAAACATGAAGAGGAAGCTTGACCAGATGAAGGAAACTGATGGTCAGGTTTTACTTGATCATCAGAGATTTGTGGGTTTGTTCCAAAGGCATTTATTGCCTTCGTCTTCTGGGGCTGTACCGCGTAATGAAGCTCCGA